TTTTTAAAATACAATCAGTTTTTCAGGTGTAGGGTAGTCTTTGAAAATGGAAAGGAGATCAGCAGAGTAGATAAAAGGGTCTGGGGGAGGGAGGAGGGAAGGGAAAGGAGAAAAACAGGGGAATGGTGTTGGCCAAATTATATTGTTGTAAGAAAAAAAAAACAAACCAAACCAAAATAAAATCAGTTTTTCTATGTAGGAGTGTAATTTTTCTCTATTCAAATCTTCATTGATTTTTAGCTAAGATACTTTGTGTACACTTCTTATTAAGTGTATTTCTAGGCAGTTTACATATTTAATGTGGTAATTTTGTGTATGTTAACAAAGTAATGGATTTGTAATTATTTGGATTGTGATTATAGAATAGTTTACATCATTTTTGCTCAAGTGTACCAGTTGTACTTTAAAATGAGTATGAACAGGTATAGAAGGAAGGCATATAGTTTAAAAAGTTTTATTTATTTATTTATTTTACAGTAGAATGCATTTTGACATATAGTACACAAATGGAGCACAGCTTCCCATTTAATTGGCTGTACATGGTTCAGAGTCACTCCGTTATTGTAATCATAGGTGTATATAGGAAAATAATGTCTGTCTCATTCTATCGTCCTTCCCATCCCCACAAACCCACCCCTCCCCTCGCTCTCCTGTACACATATCAAAATTCCTTCATTATTCCCTATCCCTTCGCCCCAATATGGATCACTTCTCAGAGAAAACATTCAGCTTTTGGTTTGTTGGGATTAATTTATTTCACTTAGCATGATAGTCTCTAGTTCCATCCATTTACCTGCAAATGCCATAATTTCATTCTTCTTTAAGGCTGAGTAATATTCTATTGTGTATATTTTCTTTATCCATTCATCCATTGAAGGGCATCTAGGTTGTTTCCATAGTTTAGCTATTGTGAATAAAGCTGCTATAAATATTGATGTGGCTGCGTCACTGTAGTATGCTGATTTTAAGTCCTTTGGGTATAAACTGAGGAGTGGGATAGCTGGGTCAAATGATGGATCCCTTCCCCGTTTTCTGAGAAATCTCGATATTGTTTTCCAGAGTGGTTGCTCCAATTTGTAGTCCCATCGACAATAAGTACACCTTTTCTTCCACATCCTCACCCACACTTATTATTGCTTGTATTCAATTGCCATTCTGTCTGGAGAGAAATGAAATTTTAGTTTTGATTTGCATTTCAGTAATTACTAGAGATGATGAACATTTTTTCATATGTTTTTTGATCAGTTGTATTTCTTCTTCTATAAAGTGTCTGTTCAGCTCCTGGCCTGTTTATTGATTGTTTTTTTTTTTTTCTGTCATGTTTATTTTTTAGTTGTAGTTGGACACAATACCTTTAATTAATTTATTTATTTATGTGGTGCTAAGGATTGAACCCAGGGCGTCATACCTGCTAGCGAGCGCTCTACCTCTGAGCCACAATTCCAGCCCATGTTTTAAAGTTTTTTGAGTTCTTTATATATCCTGGAGATTAGTGCTCTGCCTGAGGTGTGTACGGTAAAGATTTTTTCCCATTCTATAGGCTCTCTCATCATGTTATTGTTTCCTTTGCTGAGAAGAAGCTTTTTGTTTGCATCCATCTCATTTATTGATTCTTGATTTTACTTTTTGCACTTTAGGAGTCTTATTACTACATAATGAAGATTTGGGCATACTCTTTTTTTCTATTAGTTGCAGGGTCTATGTTCTAGTGTCTAAGTCTTTGACCCATTTTAAGTTGATTTTTGTGCAGGGTGAGAGATAGAGGTTCAATTTCATTCTGCTGCATATGGATTTTTGGTTTTCTCAGCACCATTTGTTGAATAGGCTGTTTTCCACTATATATTTTTGGTGCCTTTGTCTAGTAGGAGATAACTGTATTTATGTGGGTTTGTATCCATGTCTTCTATTCTGTACCATTGGTCTACATGTCTATTTTGGTGCCAATACCTTGACATTTTTGTTACTGTTGCTCTGTATTGTAACTTAAGGTCTGGTATTATGATGCCTCCTGCTTTACTATTCCTGCTAATGACTGCCTTGGCTATTCTGGATCTCTTATTTTTCTAAAAGAATTTCATGATTGCATTAAATCTATATAACAGTTTTGGTAGTATGGCCATTTTGACTATATTAATTCTTTCTGTCCCAGAGCATGAGAGATCTTTCCATCTTCTGAGGTTTTCTTTGATTTCTTTCTTTAGTGTTCTGTAATTTTCATTGTCTTTTACCTCTTTTGTTAGATTGATTCTCAAGTATTTTATTTTTTTAGGCCATTGTGAATGGGGTGGTTTTCCTAATTTTTCTTGCATTGTATTCATCGCTTATGTATAGAAATGCATTTGATTTATGGATATTGATTTTATATACTGCTGCTTTGCTGAATTCATTTATTACTTCTAGAAGTTTTCTGGTGGACTTTTTTGGATCTTCTAAATATAGAATCGGGGCTGGGGATGTGGCTCAAGCAATAGCGCAATTGCCTGGCATGCGCGGGGCACTGGGTTTGATCCTCAGCACCACATACAAATAAAATAAAGATGTTGTGTCCACTGAAACTAAAAAATAAATATTAAAAAATTCTCTCTCTCAAAAAATTAAAAAAAAATAAATATAGAATCATGTTATCAGCAAATAGTGATAGTTCTTCTTTTCCTATGTGTATTCCTTTATTTTTTTTCACCTGATTGCTCTAGCTAGAGTTTTAAGGACTATATGGAATACAAGTGGTGAAAGAGAATATCCCTGTCTTGTTCTAGATTTTAGAGGGAATGTTTTCAATTTTTCTCCATTCAGATTGATGTTGGCCTTGGGCTTAGCATAGATAGCTTTTACAATGTTGAGTTATGTTCCTACTATCCCTAGTTTTTCTAGTGTTTTGAACATGAACAGGAGCTGTATTTTGTCAAGTGCTTTCTCAGCATCTATTGAGATAACCTATGATTCTTGTCTTTAAGTCTTTTGGTGTGATGAATTGATTTCCATATGTTGAACCAACCTTGTATCCGTGGGGTGAATCCTACTTGATTGTGGTGTACTATCTTTTTAATATTTTTTTATGTGATTTGCCAGAAGTTTATTGAGAATTTTGTGTCTGTGTTCATCAGTGATATCCATCTGAAGTTTTCTTTCTTTGATGTGTCTTTGCCTGGTTTTAGAATCAGGGTTTAACCTCTTGGAATGAGTTTGATAGGTTTCTGTCCTTTTCTATTTTGTGGAATATCTAGAAGAGTATTGGTATTAATTCCTCTTTGCAGATCTTGTAGAACTTGGCTGAGAATCCATCTCGTCTTGGGCTTTTCTTGATTGGTAGGCTTTTGATGGGGTCTTCTATTCCGTTGCTTGAAATTGATCTGTTTAAATTGTGTATGTCCTCCTGATTGAGTTTGAGCAGATCATATGCCTCTAGAAATTTGTCAGTGTCTTCAGGATTTTCTATTTTACTGGAGTATAAAGTTTCAAAATAGTTTCTGATTTTATCTTCTGTATTTCAACAGTGTCTGTCATGATATTTCCTTTTTATCACAAATTTTAGTAATTGGAGTTTTCTCTCTCCTTTTTGTTAGGGTGGCTAAAGGTTTATAAATTTTATTTATTTTTTAAAAGTACCAGCTTTTTGTTTTGTCAGTTTTTTGAACTGTTTCTTTTGTTTCAATTTCATTAATTGAAGCCCTGATTTTAATTATTCCTGTCTTCTACTTTTGGTGTTGATTATTCTTCTTTTTCTAGGGCTTTGAGATGTAATGTCAGGTCATTTAGTTGTAGATTTTTTATTCTTTTAATGAATGAGCTCAGTGCAATGAACTTTCCTCTTAACACAGTCTTCATAGTGTCCCAGAGATTTTGATATGTTGTATTAGAGTTCTCCTTTACCTCTAAGAATTTTTTTTATCTCCTCCCTGATGTCTTCTGATATCCATGCTTCATTCAGTAGTTATTGTTTAGTCTTCAGGTATTTGAGTAGCTTCTATTTTTTATTTTATCATTGAGTTCTAGTTTAATTTCATTATGGTCTGATAGAATGCAGGGTAGTATTTCTATTCTTTATATTTGTATTGGCTAAGACTTGGTTTGTGGCATAACACGTGGCCTATTTTATAGAAGGATCCATGTGTTGCTGAGAAAAAAGTGTATTTGCTTGTTGATGAATGAGATATTCTGGGGGCTGGGGATGTGGCTCAAGCGGTAGCGCGCTTGCCTGGCATGCGTGCGGCCTGGGTTCGATCCTCTTCACCACATACAAACAAAGATGTTGTGTCCGCCGAAAACTAAAAAATAAATATTAAAAAAAAGAGAGATATTCTGTATATGTCCTTTAAGTCTAAATTATTGATTGTATTATTGAGTTCTGTGGTTTCTTTGTTTAGTTTTTGTTTGGAAGATCTATCCAGTGGTGAGAGAGGTGTGTTAAAGTCACAAGGCATACAGTTAAACGTCTGTCTTAACTTAAAAGATATAAATATATGTGTTTATTTTTTATCTATTCATTAATACAGTAAGTTAGAAGTAATTGATATATGAATTGAAAATGTAAATTCTTTGGAATGATCATTGTATTTTTATAGGTTATAAAGGAAAGAAGCAACAGTACTTGAAAGTAATAAATTGCAATTCAAAATATAAATTCTGTGATGAGATTTTCTTTTTGAATTCTAATTGGAACTTAACTAGTATGGTCTTGTCTTAGGAAAAATATCCCTGAGTGCCATTTTTTTTTTTTAAAGGCCAATTAGAACTATATTCTTTTGGGAACAGTGGTGAGGCTCGGTTGTAGAGTGCTTGCCTAGCATGCATGAGGCTCTGGGTTTGATCCTTAGCACTGCAAAAAAAAAAAAAAGGGAGCAACTTATTCTTTTAACTTGGTGCCTTAAAAATCATGAAGAAGGACCATATTGACTTTATTGGCCAGTATTTTGTTTATGAATATTGGGAATGGAAGTAATATATTGTTGACCAGTTGGATATCACTGTTAATTTTTTTCTTTTTTTTTTTTTCATTACAGGTTTTGCAAAAGGCATCAGATTAAATCAAGTTCAAATATTCCCTGTGTTCCCAAAGACTTATTGATGATGTCTGAATTTGTTCTTCCAAGATTTATTTTTTGTCTTATTCAGTACTTAAGAGACGGCTATAATGAACCAGGTATGTTTCAAACTATTCCTTGCTAGTACTCTTTATAAGTTCCTAGTTCACAAAGTTTTACATGAATAATGTGGTGAATTTTTTTTAGACATTATTGTTTTTGTTTACCATTTTAAAAGAGATGACTAAATACAGAGACTGAATAAAAACACTAGAATAAATGATATTACTATAGATACCTTGTAGTAGTCATGGTTTGGTGTCAAAATGTTTTTTTTTTTTTTAAATTTTTTATTGTGGGTTGTTCAAAACATTACAAATTTCTTGACATATCATATTCCACACTTTGATTCAAGTGGGTTATGAACTCCCACCTTCACCCCATACACAGATTGCAGAATCACCAATCAAAATGTTTTTGATCAAACTTATTTGACCTTTTGCAAATGAAGAAGTAGTCCATTTTATGGGGTTAAATTCACTTTATTTGTAATCATATTAGGATAGAGCAGAATTAAGATGCCCTGGAAGTGTTTGAATTTAATTTATATTTTTAGATGATAAAAGCATTGTATTTTTTTTTCTTTCTGGTAGAAGTCTATATATTGTAATTTTTATTCCCCTTCATATAGTTTATATAATAATTTATAATAGGGTCACATTGCTCATTTCCATATTACTGGTAAAATGTGTGGGTATACGTATCATGTTAGTATTAAAAAGAGAAAAGAAACATTCAAATTATGGGTATTCATTAAAGATTTTTTGGGTGCTGGGAATTGAACTCAGAGGCACTCAACCACTGAGCCACATCCCAACCCTATTTTGTATTTTATTTAGAGACAGGGTCTCACTGAGTTGTTTGGCACTCACTTTTGCTGAGGCTGGCTTTGAACTCTCTATCCTCCTGTCTCAGTCTCCTGAGCTACTGGGATTGCAAGTGTGCGCCATCATACCTGGCTCTTTTTAAAAATATTTTTTTGGGTGTCAATGGACCTTTATTTTATGCATTTATATGTGAAGCTGAGAATTTAACCCAGTGCCTAACACATGATAGGTAAGAGCTCTACTACTGAGCTACAACCCCAGCCCGCTACAATCTTGATTAATACATTTTAGTTAAATATTTAGATTTTGTTATCTATTAAAGTTCTTAGTCTGATGTGAATTAGAGATTATCAGTGGTGTAAAATGAATTTATTAACTTTTAATGTCTTTTATATACATTTTTTAAAATTAACTTTAACTTTTTTGTTTATTTTATTTGCTGTGCTGGGGATTGGACCCAGGACTGAGCCATATCCAACCCTTTTAATTTTATTTTGAGGCAAGGTTAGTAAATTGGCCAGGCTGGCCTTGAACTTGTTATCCTGCCTCAGCCTGTTGAGTCTCTGGGATTATAGGCATGTGCCACCACGCCTGGCTTGTTTTTCATTAAAAAACATATATTTTTTAATGAAAAAAATATTTTTTTATTGGTGCTGGGGATTGAACCAGGAGTTTGTATACAATCTTTTGTTAAGTACTTCTGCTTCTCTCAGAATATATATCTTATAATACAGAAAAATATTATTTTGATTTAGTCCCAGACTACTGTTTCTTTGAGGTAACAGAACCAGATACCAGCTACCAGCTGGGTTATTGAGATTTCCTTTATTTTTAATTTTTTTGATACTGGGAATTGAACCCAGGGGTGTGCTACCACTGAATTACATTCCCAGCTTTTTAAAATTTGAGACGGGTTATCAATAAGTTGCTTGCATATTTCTCATAAACTAGTTAACAGATTTTTTTGGAATTTACCTTTTATATTACTGGTGTTCTATTTCGGAAATGTAATAGGTTTAAGTAATTATGAGAACCTTAAAATTTAGTTTAGTCAATGACTACTTCACATAAAAGTGTACTATTGGTGATATTTAGCAGTTAAAAAGGTAGATGACATAAGTATATAGCTGTGATAATCATCTGTTACCATTATTTGAAAACATGAATGAGTAGGAACACTTTTTGTATAAAGATGAGTTTCATAAATATGGGTTTGTGAAATTTTCCTCTATTTCCTCTTTGTATTCAGCATCAATTTCTGTATAACAAACAAACAAACAAAAAAAAAAAACAAAACCAAAAAAAAACCAGAAAAAGCAAAACAACTCCATTATTTTGTATAGAGATCACTATAAATTAATAGAAGGTAATGGAAGTTAAAGGATCTTGTGGTTTTACAGTTGCTTTGAGTTCTTTTTCTCTTTTCACACCATAATCCTTTGACCATTGTTAGAGCTTGTGTCAGAGACTTTAGAAACCAAGAGCAAATATTAATTAAATATCTGTTAATATATATGGATCACTGGGGCTGAGTATGGTGGTGCATGCTGATAATCCTAGCAGCTCAGGAGGCTGAGACAGGAGGATCTAGAGTTCAAAGTCAGCCTCAGCAATGGGTGAGGTGCTAAGCAACTCAGTGAGACCCTGTCTATAAATAAAATACAAAATAGGACTGGGGGATGTGGCTCAGTGGTTGAGAGCTCCTGAGTTCGATCTCTGTTTCCCCCCATCTCCCAAAAAAAAGATCACTGGGAAGAGTATACAAATGAATAGTATACAATATTAGCTTTCCATTGAGAAAGTAAGGTTTTAGATGCTGAATAAAGAATGAAATTAATGTCACCTTTCCTGGACATACAGGTGCTCCCTTAGCTTTCTTATATGTGTTCTTCTTTTAATCAATTATGACTCAACGCTAAAGATTTCTATTTATTTCTTCCTTTTAGATATTAACTTCTCTAAAACATCTTTTTCTTTTTATATTTAATATTCTGTGTCATTACTGTCTAAGATTTTTATCTCTCCCTTCAGCTATACTAGGCATTTTGCCTGCTGTGTTTATATATATATATATATATATATATATATATGATATTTTTACACACATACACATATATGTACTTTTTTAGTGTGTGGTACTGGGTATTAAACACAGGGTTGCTTTCACTAAACAATATCCCCAGCCTTTTGTAGTTGCTGAGGCTGGCCTTGAACTTGTGATCCTTCTGCCTTAGCCTCCTGAGTCTCTGGGATTATAGGTATGTACCACCATGTTCTTCCTTTAGTTATCATTGATTGTACATATACACATACAAATTTTATATGTATACTTATATCTGTGCGTATATATGTATATACACATACATACACATATATACATTTTTTTTTTTTCCTTTTAGCAGCTGATGTATCATCAGAAAAAGACCTTAACAAAGTCCTTCAGCTTTTGGAACCTCAAATTTCCTTTTTAGAAGACCTAACTAAAATGGGAGGAGCAATGAGGTCTGTTCTTACCCAGGTTTTGACAAACCAACAAAACTACAAAGATCTAACTTCTGGTGAGTAAAATGTTAGATGAGAAATTTATAATTATGTTACTATAAATATACATTTTATAACTTAAAAGCAAAATGTGGATTTTTCGTAGAAAACTTGAAGTTAAGAGAATTCATAGATGAGGAAGTTGAGCTCCAGAAAAATTAAATGATCTATTAAAGATCTCACAACTAATTTATTTTGAGAAGCCCAAGTCTTTCAACATTTGATGTAACATATTTAAAAAAACCCCTTTATTTTATTTATTCATTTTGTGTGTGTGTGTGTGTGTGTTGCTGAGAATTGAAACCAGTGCCTCACATGTGCAAGGCAAGCGCTCTGCCACTGAGCCCCTTGATGTAACATATTTATAATTATGCTTTACTGCCCTGTTTTCCAATAGTAACAACCACTTTTTATGTTTATAGTTTTGGTATTTTAAATTTCTGGATTATATGGACTAGGATTTTATTATAATAAGGAGTTTAAATTATAAAACTTGGGATTACTGAATGTTTTATGTATCTGGTATACTGTAATAAAAATAGTTTAAACACCTTTAGTTTGCCCCAATTATTGTACAATAAATGCATCAATTATTTCAAAATCTTGTTATAAATATTTTAAACAGTGCTTTTTCTTACTGTTTGTGAACAACATAATTTGAAAATTAAAGTTCATCATGTTTTTTTGAGTGGTAAAATTTTCATGTGTATTGTTTACCATATTAGATGCTTATCTGATACACTTATTTCTTCAATACTTTCTTTTGACTGCTAGTACTGGGGATTGAATACTGGACCTTGTACTCATGAGGCAAGCCCTCCACCAGTGAGCTACACCCTCAACCCTTTAAATTTTTTTTTTTTGTAATTTGAGATAGGACCTTGCTAAGTTGTACAGATGGGCTTCAAAATTGCAATCCTCTTTCCTCATCCTCCCAGAAACTGGGATTACAGGTGGGGTGGCATCACTATGCCTGGCTAAGTCACAAAGTTCTTATTAGGCACCCACAAGGTGCTTGACTCTGGACCAGGCACTGGAGTGTGGGGTAGGGAAGGTAATAGTAAACTTTTATTATTCTATCCTTGCTCTTATAAAACTGTGGTCTAATGAGTTAGGTTTCATTAATCAAACTAACCCCCTCTCTCAATTGTGTAATTATAAACTATAATAAGTGCTGTGAAAGTGTTGGGCAAGTGATTGTGAAAGAAAGATCCAGTTTCACTGGTGGTAGAGGCATGAAGCATTACTGCGGAAGCAGTATTTAAACTAAAACCCAATGGTTGAGAGGGAGTCATTTAACTAAAGGATGAGGGGAGTTGAGTATAAAGCCATGGAGTTGGAGTCCAGGTAGATGACATCTGCTTTTGGCTACTGGATTGGCTCTTATGTCATAACAACATAAAACTGGACAAATGATGAGGCAGCTGTTTTCAGGCTCTGGATATCAGGTAGCCCATGACTGTGAACTCAGAAGGGAAAAAAATGAGATGAGCCTCATGACAGCTCTGGGAACAACTTCCTGATTATAGAGAAACACTGGTATTGAAGCAGAGCATTGTGGTCTTGTTAAGAATGCAGAGATTAAGGTGTAGGACAGCTGATGTCATTGGAAATTATGGAGTCTTGGGGTAGAATGCTGAGATATAGTGGGGGGCAGACTTGTGAGGGAGTCCTGGAAGTGCTTAGCTAAAGACTGGATTGCATACTACATTGATTACTATGGGATTAAAAGCAGAAAAGAAATAATAGAGGTCATGCAATGTTGGGGGACATTGGAGTTTCAGTTTGGTATTCAATCTGTGATTGAATTGTCTTCTAGAACAAAATTTAATATTCTTTAGAGGAAGGAAATAGAATCCAAAATGTTCTATAATGTGTCATGAGAATATCCAGAATATAATAAAAACTGATGTAAATATAGGAAAACAAACTGTGCTATAGGCAAGAAAAAAAAAATAGCCACCAGAAATTGATCTTAAGGTGGCCCAGATATTGGGTTTAACTCATAAAGATACGAGAGCAATTATTACAAATATATTTACCTATTTTAAATATGTTCAAGATATTTAAGGAAAATATGTTCAAAGAATTAGGAAATGTGTAAATTAATGAGTGAAGTGATAGGAATCTTAGCACAGAATGTAAACAAAAAGAACCAAAGTGAAATTCTAGAACAAAGTTTTGTTAAATTCAATAACTGAATTAAAAAATTCACTTCATTGGCTTAGTAGCAGCTTTGATAGGGTAGAGAAGTCAGTGAATTTCAAGGTGAATCAATAGACTAGACAGAAAGAAAAATGATTAAAGAAAATATACAAATACAAAGAAAATCACACATAGATCTTTCCTAGATTCCAGGCAAAAGGACGAGTGTCTGGAAATATCTATGGATGGAAATGAGCCTATTTTTAAGGGACTATAAAGGCCAAGGTGGTTGATGTGAAATGAATAGGGGGGATAGTGTCGCAAATAAGACTCCTACATTAGACTAGATCCAGATCAGACAGGTTCTCATGGTCCATGTAAAATTTTCTATTTTGTTCTGAATGTGGTGGGATGTCATGGAAATATTTTAACCTTAAGAGTGAGATGATCAGATATGTATTTTAAAAAGGTGACTTGTTTTGCCAGCAGTTAATTGGAAGGTATAAGAAAAGCAGCTCAAGGGGCAGAAGTCTAGGGTAAAGATGATGGTGGCTTGTGCTTGAGTTTTGGTGATGAAACTGGAGAGAGGTGAAGTTCATATCTGGACATCTGTTATTTCTTATCCTAGAAAATGGTTTGTTATTCAGAAATTATCAACTATTGAGAAAGAGAACAAACAGGTTGTTCTTAATCATTGGAGGAATGTATATTTTAGGAATATTTTGTGATAGTTTTCCTCTTTTGTTTAAACAATTTTTAAAAATATTGTTTTAGATATTGATGGAAAAAAGTATTCATTTATTTATATGTTGTACTGAGAATCGAACCCAGTGCCTCGCACATTCTAGGCAAGTGTTCTATCACTGAGCCACAACTCCAGTCCTAAACAATTTTTAAAAATTCTTATTTCCCAGGGGCTGGGGATGTGGCTCAAGTGGTAGGGCACTGGCCTGGCATGCGAGAGGCACTGGGTTTGATTCTCAGCACCACATAAAAATAAAGATATTGTGTCCACCTAAAACTAAAAAATAAAATATAAAAAAAATCTTATTTCCTGAAGTTAATAGCAACAATTCTTAACTTTTAATGATGGAAATCAAATTAGATTTTAATTCAAAAGCTTTGAATTTGCAGTCTAGATTCCCTTCTATGTGAAACTGGCTAGCTATATTATCTTTTCTTTAAAAAATATTTTTTGTTATACAAGGGTACAATATCTTTATTTTGTTTATTTATTTTTATGTGGTGCTGAGGATCGAACCCAGGGTCTGTCACACATGCGAGGCGAGTGCTCTACCATTGAGCCACAACCCCAGCCCCACTATATTGTCTTTTTAAGCCTTAAGTTTCTTACTTAAAAAAAATGGTGGTTATATATTTATTTTTCTCAGGGTTATTGTGAGGGGTTGACTTAGATGAACATTTAGCATTATTGAAGTCAATATGTGGCTTGTATTATTCAGCAGATATTTAGTAATTTCTTTTTCTTTTTTTCCCATGAAGCTGGGGATCAAACCCAAGGCCTCACACATACTAGGCAAGTGCTCTACCTCTGACTGAGCTATACCCTCCAGGCCTGAATCATTTCTTATACAGAACTCTGAAAGTTCTTTCTTCTTTTTTTTTAAATTTATTTTTCAGTTATAGATGTATATATAGTTTTATTTATTTTTATGTGGTGCTGAGGATCGAACCCAGTGCCTCACATGTGCAAGGCAGGCAATCTGCCACTGAGCCACAACCCCAGCCCAAGTCTTTGTTTTTCATAAACTAATTCTTTATTCTTCATAAACTGGAATTGAAGAAGGAAATTCCCATTTGTTTAGTCTGTGTTGGAGTTTTAAAAAAATTTTTATTTTTTAATCAAGGGCAGATAGAGATTGAAAATTATAAAACAAAACAAGAATAAGGAAACCAAATAAAAGAGAAAAGCTCAGCAAATATTAAACTAATTTATATAATCAGAGAGATTCACAGTTTAAGATGCATAATCTACTATGAAGAGGTGAATGCCAAGGAAATTTGCCTTGATGTAGAAAATAATTGTTTCACTTAAAAAACTCTTAATTGGGGCTGGGGATGTGGCTCAAGTGGTAGCGCGCTTGCCTGGTGTGCGTGCGGCCCGGGTTCGATCCTCAGCACCACATACAAACAAAGATGTTGTGTCCGCCTAAAACTAAAATAAATAAATAAAAAAAAACAAAACAAAAAAAACCTCTTAATTATCAATCTGTTTTTCTTTTACTATTATTCCACCCTCCGTAATACATTAAAAAGCAAAAACAAAAGAAAAAATTGGCAATAATAAGCTGCAATGCTTAAATGAAAGTTCTGGGATTGTGTGATTGTAGAACTTAAACCTTTCCGTATTTTTGGAAGTAAATTGTTTTTATTAATATTTCAGTAGAAACTATACTTCTAATTCCTTAAATGTGATTGACACAGGAATTAAAATAATTTAATTTGTAGTATTTGAAAATTCCATTCAGGTATTATCTCTTCAAAAAAAAGCTTTTTCTAGGTATTGTGCTTTGAATAAGTTTGAATGCTTGGAATTACAAGATCACAGATTGACAGACCATGTGGTGAAGTCTGCCACATAATTTTCATCTGTTGTATTATCTGCTTCGCTTCTCTCCTCGACTCTTCTCTTCTCTCTTTCACACTCTCTCTAAATATTGGTACTGGGGATAGAACCCAGGGGTGCTTTACCATTGAACTACATCCCCAGCACTTTTTATGTTTCATTTTTGAGACTGGGTCTCACCAAGTTTGCAGTGTTGGCCTTGAAATTGGGAATTCTCCTATCAGCCTCCTGAGTGGCTGGGATTAGAGGCATGTGCCTGGCTGTTTATTTTTCTTTACCACTGATTTTAAAGTTCTTGAAGGTTAGAATCATGCTTCATTATTATTTTTTTTATTTTTATATTCTAATTTGTTTTTTAAAAATTTTTTATTTTGCTATATATGACAGCAGAATGCATTACAATTTGTATTACAATGTAGAGCACAATTTTTCATATCTCTGGTTGTATACAAAGTATATTCTCTCATTTATTTTGACACCAGCTGCTATTTTCCTATTTGTTACAAGTATCCTGTGCCTTTTGGAATTATTAATAACAAACACAAGCACAAAAATATTATCTGAAGCTATTTTATGTTGTTCCACTTCCAGTAGAATATTCACCTATTTTATCATGTATATATTAATTAATGAGATGACTGTATTTAGATTTTAAATGGAATATATATATATTTTTTTAATTTTAAATTTGTTTTAAATATTAGGACCTGGAGAAAATGCTTGTGCAAAGAAAAGTCATGAAAAGTACCTTATAGCTTTGAAGAGCTCTGGACTCACATATCCTGAGGATAAGCTTGTATATGGTATTCAGGAGCCATCTGCTGGTACTAGCACTCTGGCAGTTCAAGGTTTGTATAAGTATTTAGTTTGAGCAGTAGTGACTTTTCTGTATTAAAACAAAAATAACAACAATAAAACCCCTGAAATGTTCATTATTGAACAAATTTATTTTGAGCTAAAACAGTGTCATTTTTTTTTTTTACAAGAAAACTATTATAAATTTAGAAGCAAGAAAGAATAAATTGGCTAAAGAAAAAATATATTTTTCTTGAATGGAATTTGGTTACTTTTATAAGGTTCTGGTTCTAACTCATGAGAAATGTACCACTTGGTATTTAAGAGTGTCCCAAAACTTTATTGGCTTAGTATTTTAATAAATCATGGTTTAAAACTAAAAAAAAAAAACAAACACCATTTGTAATTATTAAATCTTGAGATTTTTCCATTGAACTATTAAACCTATTAGGCCCAAATTTATTTAAGATAAATGTTGACCTTTGCCAAGATAACTGTTAAAACGAGGTGTCTTAATACAACAAAACTTAGCTTTTTGATATTTATATGTCTCAAAATAATTTTAAAGTAAATCAATATATAACAACTATGAAGGGCAACTTTTTTTTCCTCCCTTCTAAAGGTTTTGCAGGTGCAACAGGAACATTGGGACAAGTAGATTCTTCAGATGAGGTGAGACTTAAAGTTTAAAAATTTAAAAAATAAAATTTAAAAAGTTATAGAAGTATAAAGATTTGTGTATATTATTTGATTTAAATTCCTCATTCGGTTAGACTAGAACATGGAACCTCAGAGTGATTTTTTAGGAAGCCTGACCATAAAATTACTTAGTAATAGGTCAAGGACTACAAGTAGAGTTTTATTTCTTGTTTCTAATTCATTTCTCTTTTTACAGTTTAAAAGTGGGAGATGTAAAGTAGAAGGAATACCAGTTGAGTAGAGAAAGGGAATAAGGGGAAGGAGGAGGGAGGGAATAAGGAGGTACTGGGGAATGAAACAGACCAAATTTATATTGTTATATTGTGTGCATGTATGAATATGTAACAGTGAATCCCACTAATATGTATAATTATAATGCACCAATTAAAAAAAGAACCACCCTAAAATAAATAAAAGTAGGAGATGGATCTTTCTCCTAAGAAAATATCCCCAAATATATCTGTGTACAATGAATTTTGTATGTTCAATGAAATTGTCTTAAAAAATTTAAGTCTAGAATAAATTATTAAAAGAATATGAATTTGGGAAAAGGGAGGAACTATGGAATGAAATTTACAAAATTATGCTATGTACATATATGAATATACCTCAAGTGAATTCCATCTATATGGATGTCTATAAAGCATCAGTTAAAAAATAACACAAAACCAGTAGAATAGAGGAAGGTCAATAGGGGAAGGGAAGAAGAGGGGGAAAGAGGAAACTACTGGGGACTGAAATGGAGCAAATTAGATTCTGTGCATGTATGATTATGTCAAAATGAACCCCACTATTACAAATAACTATAATACACTAATAAAAACGTTTAAGAAACAGAATATGAATTGTAATCATTTTTCTAATCTTATAATAAAGGTAATGCCTTACATGAACGATTACTTAAAAAAAGTGCTATATTTGGAAGTAGATCGTCAATTAGAAATTTTGGTTTTTATATTGTTGGTTAATAAATATTTCTAATAAATCCTTTATTATCATCTCATTTTGTAAGTACATGAAAAAATTGCTTTATTACTTTTGTTTATAATCTGTATTCTTAAAAAATTATAAAGTTTATATATCTTTCTATGGAATAATACTTTTAATGGCTAAAAATTAAAAAATTACATTTAAGCATACACAAGTATACCAAATGCTTCTTTTGGAAGGATAGTTTCTGTTATAGAATCTTGTAATTAATTCAATGCCTAGGATTTAAATTTTATATGAATATTTTCCCTCAAAAAATCCTCCCCAAAATGCAACATTTGAAGCTTCAGTTTGGACAATTTTGAAGAATTTTCTTCAGATTGGACATGCAGTTAGTATGCCCTTAGGAATTTGACTTTGAAATTAGGCTGCCTGAGTTTGAATTCTGACTTCTGTACTAATTAGTATTGTGACCTTGGGCGAGTGTCTTAACCTCTCCATGCTTAGATTTTCTCATCTATAAAATGGAGATACTAGTTTTTAGTTCATAGGAATATTAAGAGGGTTGAATGGGTTAATACATTAACCATTTAGAGCTGGGCAAGATAGGGCATACCTGTAACCACAGCTTTTTGTAGTTTTTACATTTATCACGTTTTCCAATGGAATAAAAATGAAATCATTTAGACATTTGAAAATGTAAGAATTTGAATCACTGTAATCCCAGTGACTCAGGAGACTGAAGCAGGAAGATTGAAAATTTGCGGCCAGCCTCAGCAATTTAGTAGGGTCCTAAGCAACTTGGAAACCCTGTCTTAAAATGAAAATGGCTGCAGATGTAGCTCAGTGATAAAGTGCCCCTGGGTTCAATCTTCATTACCAAAAAAAAAAAAAAAAAAAGGAAGAAGAATTTGAAGTACAATATTTAACTGGAAGTTGATTGAAGGGACATGTACTTTATTTTTTATTTTTTTTTTAAGAGCATCATTAGGATCATCATTTTGTTTCCTTTTAGTGTGCAACTAGTTCTTCATGTATTCCTCAAGACATTACAATATATACCCTGAAAAGAACTTGAGCTTTAGAGTCAAGACTAAGTTTGAATTTTTGCTCATAATATCCCTATGATTTTTGCAAAGTCATTTAACTTCTGAACATTAATTTCTTTGTTAAAAGACGGTAATTCTAATGTTAGCAATGGTCCCTGTTATTGACCAGGCATATATGTGGATTTTTATGTATGCTTTCTATCCTATTGTCTTATGTATATAAGGGATTCAGATATTTGAATTTTTGAGTTATTATGGATCACACTATAGAAATTTCTGCTGATATTTCTTTTTTCTTTTTAAAACATTTTTAGTTGTAGATGGACACAATACCTTTATTTTGTTTAGTTTTTTTTTTATTGGTGCTGGGAAACAAACCCAGTGCCTCATCCATGCTAGGCAAGTGCTCTACCACTGAGCCACAACCCAAGCTCTGCTGATATTTTTAGGAACTAGTTACTAATGCATGGTTTAAAAACAATGAAGTTTGCTTCCAAATATAGATTAAAATTACTGATGTAATGTGAATACATTGTAGTTGTTTTTGCTGGACAATTCAAATAAAAGTTTTTTCTCCACCCTTTCTAATACAGGCCCCTCCGTTAGTTAATAGTTTGAATGTCTTTGACAGGCCCATTTCTGTGTAGTTAAATAACTATTTTTTACAAAAATGTATAGTGTGTGTGTGTGTGTGTGTGTATGTACATGCATGTGTGTAAGTAATACTGTAAAACAGTATATTGTTTTGTGACCTGCTTTTATTTACTATGTTATATAAATCCATCTTTGTATACTATTCTTTCTGTTTGCCAAATAACGTTCTAAAATATGAATAAGCCACAACTTATCCATTTTCTTAATTTCCAATTTTTACAAAAAAATATAATGCTTTAATTTTTTTTTTGTGTAGATGTACAAATAGTTCTCTAAAATGTGAAATTGTGAGGTCATGGCATATAACATATCTTAAATTTTAATAGGTTATACTTTTTCTGATTATAAAAGTTACACAAGCATTTAAAATGAAAAGTGAAAGACCAGTCATGTTTTAGTGACAATGTCAGGAAAATTTCTATCTTAAGATTGTGGCTCGGCACTGTGGCACATACCTGTAATCCCAGGGGCTTGGGAGGCTGAGGCAGAAGGATGGAGAGTTCAAAGCCAGCTTTAGCAACAGTGAGGTGCTAAGCAACGCAGTGAGATCCTGTCTCTAAGTAAAATACAAAAAAGGGCTGGGGATGTGGCTCAGTGGTTGAGTGCCCCTGAGTTCAATACCCAGTAAACACCCCTGCCCCCACCAAAAAAAGATTGTGATCACAATTTTCTGTATAAAATATATATTCATGTTTTATTGATGTATATACTAAGATGTTTGCTTTATGGCAATCATGTGATGTAACGAGCAAAAATGAGATTTAGGAGGAGCAATTAAAATGTTATAAAAATTATGAATGCTATAGCTAAAAGGGACCTGGAAATTTTTCATGTCTAATTTTCTTATTTATGGATGAGGAAGCTGAATTCTTTAGAATTAATCAATTTACTCACATAGTGAATTTCATGTAGTGAGTGGTAGCACTGAAACTGGACACTAAATCTCCTAATTGCTGGTCTAGTGTTCTTTCTGAAAAGTGAGTCAATCACTGTTCATTTTTGTTACTATTACAATAACTAGACTATTGTATGCAGTAAATTTTTTGAAAACTTTATGGCTTAAAATTATCATTTTATTTTGCTCATAATTTTATGACTTGGGAATCTGGGCAAGGCAGCTGGATAGTTCTCTCTTGGGATATCTTATGTGATTGCAGTTGGTTGTCGGCTGCATCTGTGATTATTTCAAGGCCAAACTCAGATGGAGGTCTAAGATAACTTACTCTCAGAGTTGACAGTGCTGGCTGTCCAGAGGGAGCTCAGGTAACTATTCATCAGTGTTTACATCTAGCTTCTCCAGCATGGTGGTCTTAAATTAGACGTCTTTGCATAGTGACTGACTTCTCCCAGAAAGATCAGCCCAAGACAAAACCTGTAGAGCCATATCTGAACTAGCCCTGGAAGTTACATTGTGTTACTACACTGCATTCTATTAGTTATAAGTGACTACAATTAGCCCAGATTTAGTGGGAGGATATACAGATCCTACTTGTAGATGGGAGGAGTGCCATAGAATTTGTAAACATGTTTTATAACTTCCACAATCACATTGTGACATTAGCTATTCTTTTCATCAGATTCTCTTGATATCCAGTAATGTCTAGTGATTATAGCTAAGTAACATCCCAGTGATTGATTTTCGATTTTTCTATTTCAGTGGCATTTTTCTCCTGAGAAAAACTACCTAATTATGAAATAATAATGTAGCGGGATGGGGTTGTAGCTCAGTGGTACAGCACTTGCCTAGCATGTGTGAGGCACTGGGTTATATTCTCAGCACCACATAAAAATAAATAAATAAAAATAAAGGTCCATCAATAACAACAACAAAAATTAATTACTTGGGGCTAGGGTTGTGGCTCAGCAGTAGAGCCCTTGCCTCGCATGTGCGAGACCCTGGGTTCGATCCTCAGCACCACATAAAAAAATAAACAAGTGAAATAAAGGTGTTGTGTTCAACTACAACTAAAAAATAAACATAAAAGAAATTTAAGAAAAAAAATTAATTACTTAAAAATAATGATGTAGCCATTAATGTGGACATATAATGACTATTGAAGGATTTTAATGAAAAGAATAATGGCTGCTATTGTACATTGAGACAATGAAAACACATATTTCAGACTGAAAGATATTTAGGTAGTTTATTTTTACCATTGTAAAGTAAGAAAGGAATATTATAAAATTTTGCTTTGTTTATTGCAACTAAAGGAGTAAAACATACTTTTGAATTTAATAATGAAACTAACATTATGTGATTTGTCTGCTTGTCATTGTTGGGGTCATCTGTTTCCTCTCAGCATTTGTTTCTTATTTCTTAATGAGAGATATTATTTTATT